ACGCTTTTTGTTTTTGGTGTCAAAGAAATAAGCAAGACAGAAAATTTTTCTGCAATTTTTGTGTCGATTCGAGACCAAATCGGTCCTACGCCGATTGCATCGGCTGCTTTTGGAATGCGTCGCTAAGATGCAACCGAAGTTGCCTCGCCAGCGAGATTGAATCGGGCATTCAGGGGATTGAATCGCGATTCAAACACCGACATGAAATCGAAAAAATGATTGAATCGGGACAAAAGGCCCGACATTTAGTTGCTCAGAGGGGATGCGATGCGATGATTGTATCGCACATTTGTTTTAGTCGGATGAGCGCTATACGAGTAGCCATCGGACCTGATCAGACTGAGGTTCAGTCGGCGGCCACCAATGCGGTTTGGGATCGGCGCTCAGTTTCATCGGTTGTGCCAAAGCGATCCTCAATTGGACTGCGGATCCCATCGGACAGTGAAGATGTGATTACACATCGCACAACAATTCTATCGCCCAATTTGGCCCCGACCCTGCTTCGGAACACCGTCCACGATGTGACATCGGAAGGGGCATTCCGACGTGAATTTCTTGGCGGTGAGATCACCCCCTCCGGACAAAATTGCCGGGTACAAGTCGTAGAAAGAAAACAAGATAGGGGGGCTAAAGGCCCATGATTCACTCCAAGAACCCTGTGAGGGGGGATGTGATTGCGTCTTGGCAAGATACCCAGTATGGGGCAAGACAAAGCGTTGAATTCTGACAAACCATGACATCTACAACCAATAGTGAACCGGTTAGAATAATTGAATAACCATGTGGACAGGCTCTGCGACAAAGGTCGCATATCCAAGGCATAAGCTCTCATTAGATACATCAACGGTTCCACCACTGGAAGCTAAATTGAAAACCGTGGCAACAGGGTACCTATGGCCAGCGGAAGCGGCCTCCCAAGATCACAACCGTACAATCTGGTAGAGGAAGAGCTATCATCAGCCACGGAAGACCACCAACCTCTTTCAAAACGCTTCCTTATTGAAGACCTACCCAGAAACCCTTCCAGCAACAACACTCTGCCACCTTGGTACAAATACCGAGATCACATTAGAAACCGGCATCCTCAGCACCACAAGATTCAACAGGACCACACAGACCAGGCACCTGCGCTAACCTCAACTCGTCCAACAGACAAATCCCCCACTTCCTTACGAGTACTCACAGAGGAAGAAGAAAAAGAGCAGGTGAAACTGTTACTTGCGTTGAAAAAGGGTTGTCTGGTCCTTTGGAACGGTGACGTAGTGGAAAACGGGAGACCACTAGTCGCAGAGACGTCCGTCAAGATGGAAAAAGGCCTAAATCAGCTCTCTCCGGTGTGGTGATCTATTTATGAAATCAATCAAGAAAATTAATCATCATTACTTTATCAATTTATTAGGAAACTTCAGTATAGCAGGAAATTCGAAATGCAGGTTTTCAGATCAATTGAAGCTCTTAGAGGCTTATGTATACTTATTAGTCAATACTATGTCATCTCATTTCAAATATATTCTTAAGATCATTATAGTTTACTTACAAAGTTATTACAACAAGACAGAAAAAGAAAAGATAAGAAAAATTTGAAAATAAAGGTGTAAAAGTTGGAAAATGGTTTTTCAGGTAGTAATAATCAAGTTATGGGTTTTATTAAGGTTAAAATATGAAAGAACAACACTTTATTATACAGTAACAATTTTAATCTTGAAGGTTGATGAGGGAAAACAGAAGTGTACTCCAATGCCATTAACCCCTACACAGTCAATCCTCTCACCTTCATAATTTTTGGGTTTACTCACAAATGGATGATATTCCCCCTCAGAGAAAACTGTGTTTGATTGAGTATTGGGTCTATTTTTTGGGAAGAAAGAACCTTACCAGAAGTAGATGTGTTGTGATCCAAACCAAAGATGAGGGGGACTAACACAGCGGGCTTGGATGTTGTAAAGTTCGAGTCATGATTGGTATTTAAAGGGTGTAAGTTGCAGAGTTAGACTTCCCACTGTGCTCCAATGATATCTGTCCAGCTGGAAGATACCGGTTATTATGGATGACAAGTTGGAGTGATTTTCACTTTGTTGGCATTTTCATTTCAAACCTTCACCAATCTGTCTTCTTTCTCAGTTCTTTTATTTTCTTCTGTTCCTTAATCTAATGTACCATAATATCCTCAAATTAATTTCAATGGTGAATTTAATTCATCAGCACTCCAAACCTTGATTGTTCCATCTTCACTGATAGTAGCTAATAAAGCCTCATCTCTTAATTTTAAGGGTAGGAGTATCATATCCCAAATCTCATCTGTATGTCCAACAAATGTATAAAGCCATGATCTTGAATCAAATGGTGCATAAGTTTTATGTTCTGGTGTAGGTATTGACCATACCATCACAGTCAATGAAGCTGACTGAAGTCGGGGTGGTGAGGTTGAAATTACTACACTTGTAGCTGTGGTTGAATGATCTCAAAATGTGATTTGTGGTTCAGTTTCAGGCCAGCTTGATGGACTTGGACTATCAAAATCATTAACCAAGATGAGTTTCTAGTTTTCATACATCTTTTGCGGTTTGATGAATGATCAGAATGTGATACTCATTTTGAGATTGTGACTGAATTTAAATGCCAAAGTTTGACTGTGTACTCATCACTACCCAAAACAATAGCAAGTCCACTTTGATCAAAAGCCATACATCTAGTCATATCAAGATGACTTCATTATCATCATCCAAGTGTATTAAAATCATGATCAGTACACTCATCCCTCACACACAGCCTCAATGTCCACTTAGGTTTCCACATTTTGCACCTATCCAAATTTCCAGTAAAATTGTTTTGAAGATTTTGATCAATTAGAAGCCAAAAACTTTTGTCAAGTTTGATCTTTATTACCAGTCCCATTGCCAGCAAGTTCATTGTGTTCATTCTTATTGTTAAAAAATTTTCAAGATTATTTAATCTTTCTTTCTCTTGTTCTCACCATGCATCAGATTATTGACATCTATAACTTGCTGTTAATCTACTTTCATCTAAATCTTCAGAAACCTTTAATTGTATCAGTTGATCAAGATGATGCCAGATGTATATGACTATCAGGTGAAAGTAATGGTAAGTAAGCAACTGTTAGTGATGGAGGTGGTGCTGGTGTGAGTTGTTGGGTGTTAGTGATTGAAAGGCTAGATGGTGGTTGAGGTGGTGGTGATGGTCCATCTATCATATGTTTTGAACTACTCCTAGCTCTTGTCATCACAGGTGCTGCTGGTAGTAGTCCCCCAGTTGCAAAATTAGAATGGTCATTAGGATTCATTTGATATAACCCTCCTTGATTTTGTTGTTGTTGACCAAACAAAGTCCCATTGCCACCACCACCAATTGTATGAGCTTTGTTGATTGATCATGTTATGATTCAGATTATTATGAGCATCAGGGGATTGTTGTTGAGCATTTTGATCATCAACACAGCCTTGGAGATAATTAGAATTCATACCATTGTGTTGGTGTTGTTGTTGTTGTTGTTGTTGTTGTGAATTGTTCAATGTGTTTTGTGATTTTTCAATTCCTGGTATCAACAAAGAAGTTGTGGTAATGAATTCAATGCAGGCATCAGCATAAGGTAATTAATTTCTTTTAAACACCTACCAGATTCAAATCAAATTAGCAAGGATAATCAATCTTAAACTCAAGTAAATTGACAAGAATACAAGGAAACTCAAAAGTTTGAGATAATCACAAGATCAAGGTCTGGCTTTGGAATCTCTACCATATCCCCAATTTACCAAGGACCAAAATGATGATCACTACTATGATATTTATTGTGTCATCTGTAGTTCCCACTGCTGAACTTATTCCAGCCGACTCCAATGAGAGTAATTTCAAATGACTTTCATAAAATTGAGCCAAGGACTTTTTTGAAACCACTTTGAATTGGTTATAAGATCCTCAAGCTGCTCAAATGGCTGGAGAAGGGTGAGGATTTGTAAGTCTAAATGTATGAGTATTGAATCTTTGGATAACTTCTTGCACTGACGGAGTTGAATATTGAGCAGATGATCAGGATTAGATGAATATGATATTGGTTCATGTCCTTTTAATTCGATTGGATCATGAGTTGTAATAGATTAATTTAGATAAGTTTTACAATAGATGTAGTAATCAGGAAGGTCGCTCCATCCATATGTTGTAAGAAAGCTGAATAAGCAAATCTATATCTGTAGCTGGTGTCACGTGAAGTAGCAAGTGGAGCAGGTTGTGAGATCGAAGAGAATTTTTTCATTGATAGATGATCATGTTGATACATTCTTGTAAATGAGATGGCTTTGTTGATTGCCCAGCTGCCTCGACTCAAAGATTGAAGAAGAGGAGCAAGTGAGGGGTCTCCAATTTAGTTTTATGATGATGTGAGTTAAATCAAATGATGAGCTTTGAGCGATTATTGCTGTGTTTTTGATGACTTGGAGATCGTCCTGATGTTTTCAAGGCCACCGTTTGTAATGCAAAAAGTAATGGATTCCCTTGTTCTTCTTCTGGAATTGATTTGAAAAATTGTCTGTAGACTTGAATAAAAATGACAATCGAGCCTAAAACATCATATCAGCAGATGCAAGGTTTTGACTTCAACTTTGATATGATTCAATTTGACTTACGTTGCAAAGTTCACAAGACGTACCAGTTTCTTTTTGGCAATTAAGTCCTGCAACTACCTTGTCATGATCTAAATGACTTTTGATGAGTTCTTCTAGCAATTGGTGTACTTCCGCTTTCATCAGATCTGATGATGAATCTAACCACCATCCTGTGGGATGAGTAGTGAGTCTGGAGGCTAGATTCCTTGGAGTATTTGCTCAGTGGAACATTACATTGATGAAGAAAAATCGATCTAGTCTTTCCTTCAATTTGCTGTGACCCTCTGGTGAAGTTGTGTTCACACCAATCAACATGCAGAATAAATCAACAAGAAGTAGAATCAGCAATTCCTCTATCATAGATCAAGTTCAGATAAACGAAAAGGGTATACCATTGAGAAGTCAATCATAGTCTTGATAATAATCGGCTAACCACAAAAGTTTTGTAGGAACGATCCTTTTTGCGAGTTCATCGGATAGTGCAATAGGTACAATTGTCATACCACCAAATCAAGCTCTACTTCTAGCTTCCTGACAATCATAGGCATGAGGTTTTACAACAGAATGTAGGAATTGATTGTTTGTAGGATCACAATATAAATTTTGAAACACTTATCGGTCCACTTGACTAAAACAAGTTGAAAGTTGAATCTCTTGCCAGTGAGAAGACCATTGGTGATGAGTCGGGTATTGACTTGGGAAGTTTTCATCAATTCTAATGGGTTGATCAACTTTTCTGATTAAAAATTATGTGCCTGAATTGATGTAGTCAAGAAAACAAACCATCAGTAATCGATTTAAATGACTATTGAATGACTAAACACAAGGTGATAGCCAGACAAAAAATCAGATGATCACTGAACAGTTACAGGTCACACATTTCCAATCTTGAAGTGTCCCCTCATCAGCCTTAGAATCAATCTCCTGGCAAGTTTTAATTGGTTGCATTGCTTTGAAAACTATTGTTATAGTCAAGTATAGGTGTCAATGAATTTTCAGATAATGTTACAATCTTGAGGTTCGAGTGTTGATTCCAGTTAGTAGATATTAAGTAAGTCTTTGATTAGGCAGTGGTTGAGAAATGTGTATGAAGGGTAAGTCGAGTCGAAAGGGACAGTGGACGAAGTGTGAAGGAGTGAGATAAAGGGGATTGGTGGTCATGAGTAGTACATATCATTGAAAGTCAGAAACATCAGATGCTCCAAAGTATCAAATTTTCAAGCGGGGCAGGGAGTTTTGTCAGGTTTTGTTCAAATTGATGGTTCTCCGTTAATATTTAGGATGATGATATGATTTATGATGATGATGATCTATTCTAAAGATAACAAATCTTCTTAAACCCTTGCTTGTTAAAATGATAGAGGTTTCATTTCTGGATATATTTAAAGAACCTTTAAATAACTACCATTGACAACAAGTTGATGTTACACTTCTCTAACTTGATTTATAACACATATCTGCACCCTCCTTTCAAAACACATACATATTTATTTATATATATATATATATCAAGAGACAAGATTTAAAAACCCAATCCAAGAATAAAATCTTTCTCTCATTCAAAAAAAAACAACAAGATATAATTGCTTACTTCAAGTATTTTTGAAAGAAAGAAAAAGAAAGATTTGTATGAATTCTTTAAGATTGACCAAGGAGAACACCACCTTTAGCAGCTACTTCAGCTTGAAGACGAGAGATCTCAGCTTGTTTAGCTAAGCCAGCTGCATCATCACCTTCATCAGCAACGGCCCATTGAACGAATTCGTTGGTGTAGTTGCTGACAAAGTCATCAGGCACGATCCCAAGTCGTCGAGAGTAATTTGTAACCTGAAAAGAAAAGAAAAGTTAATTAGATGAGATTTGATTTATGTATTGAAAGGGTGAACAGAATGGTCAATTACCTTGTTCCAGTCTCGAGAGACGTTGACAAGGTCTTGACTCATGTAGTTGAAGCTACGATCAAACATGATTTGGTTAAGTGGGCTGTTCATAACCGGCTGAAATCGGAAAATGAATCATACACGTTAGTGATACAAATCAAAGAAAATAGATTTATGAGATACCAGAAAAAGAGCATCTTAAAGATTTTTTTCATAAATTTCGAAGATTTACCTTGATCTTGCAGTACTCTGCCCAACTGGCACGAGGGTCAGCGAACATGTCATCGGCAGCAGCCTTGACAGCACGCATGAAGCCAGCAGCTTCCTTAGGGTGCTCGGCTAGCCAACCTGATATCTCACAAAAACAGGCATAACATCAGTCACTAGTTGAGGACACAAGTTTGGGAACGTTAATTTTTCAAAATGGGAAATAGCTCACCTTCGTTTCCCTTGATAAAGAACAAGCCAAATAAAATAAAACAAATTCAATACAACTGTGAAGAGGAAACCTTACACAGTCAAATGGAAACTCACAATGTAAAGGATGGAGCAGAAGCAACAACAACCTAATTCGGCCAATTCATCAATTCGTAACATCTTAACATCTGAAGCGGGTCGGCCATTAACTTTGCACCATTCTTCAAGCTGATCGAAGTAAAAATGAATCAGTACAAGACCTTGAATTCTGGTGGATCAGAAAAAAAGATTATTGATAATTCAAGCAGAACTTACTTCGACTTGTTGAATGTTCTCAAGTCCGATACCGGCATCAATGGTACCTTCGATGATACCCTTGGAAACGTTCATTCCGCAACGGATTGCAGTGTAATCATCCTTGGTCATACCTATGATAATACTTCACATGCTTAGAACGATCTTATAACTCGAACTGAACAAAATAAGTGGTAACTGACCATAGTACTTTGTAAGTTCATCAATTTGAATCTTACCAAATTCACCAACGTAACCAATTCGTTTACCTTTCAAAGACTTGAAGTCAGTGGTAATACCAGATCCCTTCAAAAACCATTTCAAAAGCTCAGATCAGAAATCCAAATCCATACAATTCTCTATCACTTTAGAGAAAAGCTTACTTCGAGGTAGATTACACCAGTGAATGGTTCATCCATCAAAGTTCCAATACTCTTGATCGGAAAACCTCTAGCCTTTCCAGCCAAAGTGTGAATCATGGCTTAAGTTGAGCAAGTTAGAAATTCCCCATTCGCATTTCAGTTTCTAAATGGTAAGGCGTGAAGAATTCATGAATAATAAGTAAACTAACCTTTACAACCAAGATCAGCTTTTCCTGATCCGATGAGTTCGGTAACATCAGAAGGGTCATTTGGTTCTAAGATGGCGACTTGAACACCTTCTCGTTTAAAGTAACCTGTTTACCATCAAGATTAATCATCAAATCAAAGCCAATCATCAGTCACTCTTCTTTTTCTTCTTTCAAGACGTTTCTCTCAAAATATAAATAAGAAATCAATAATAGAAATCAAAAAAGACCTTTAGATTGAGCTAAGAAGATAGGAAGATGGTAAGGGGTAGCATGCCAGTTTAATAAAACTGAGATCTTATCGGTAGACATTCTTTATGATTGAGTTGAATGGGAATTAGAAAAAAAAACAAGGAGAAAGTCTTGGATTGTGGTTTTTTTGATTTTTGTTAGAGTAATGAAGAAGCTTAGAAAAAGAAATCCAAGAAACAAGTTGAGGAAGAGATAAGCAAGATTAAGAGATAGTACGGGAAATTGAATTGTTCGATGAGTTTCAATAAGAATATCCGATCGGAGACCTTTAAAAAACCGTAAGCCGTTCTGATCGGAGTGAAAGATCAATAGGAAATCTTAAATAAATCGGGTACAACCATCAGAACCAGTTGTGTGACTGACTTGATATGATTTCAATCGGAAACCCTTCTTGAAAAATAAACCCCATTCCATTCCAAATCCAAATCCCGCGTTTACAATCCAAATCCGAATCGGAGAAATCATATTGGTTACCAAACCTCTGACGTCAAGTTTCTATATTTTCTCTCTTCAATAGCTCATCAGACTTTTTTATCTTTCGATAAGGTAATTCATCTATGTATCTATTCTATACGTATACGGTATTTGGTGTGATTGGAAACCCTTTGCTATCGATCTTGATTGATATGCATCTCCGCATTCCTTCAAGTACCTCATGCTTGAACAAGAGTTGAGACATCAGATGTATCGGAAGTCGATCATATAGGGTACTTACCATTCGAGATCCAGTTCTTGTTTACGATCATATCATACTGTTATACAATGACCGATACATTGCGTATGAAATGATTTGGTTTCATGGTGATTAGAATTTTTAAATGACGTTTGGTGCAAAATGTATTATGGTAGAGAGAGACGAGTGAAGTTTTCAAGTTTCAGAAGCAATTGTTGGTCTTTATGAAATCCAAAGACAATTTTCAAGGATAACTGTCTACAAAAGGTGTCCTTATTGATCTTTCTTGAATAAAGAAAACTTCGACTTCTTGAACTATCAGAATTAACTTCTATGTAGGGACTACCTTGAGGAAATTTTAAACGAACGGAACACGATTCTGATAGTGGACCTGTTGTCTGCTCAAATTGCCTACATCTTGGTATTTTGTAACCATGACAGATGCTGAAAGCACTCTATCAGCACCAGCTTCAGAATTGACAAAACGAAATCAATACACCGCGACTAAGTCTAGGCTTCAAGAAATTCCTTGGCCCCAACTAGTGATGTGAAGTATTTCTCCATCAAGTTTCCTAATATTATTCGATATTTGTTATGAAATTTGAAGCTCCTTCCAATCTACGCTTCTTTTGTGGCGATTGATCAATTTTTCCAACACTGTCATCATCGGGAGTCGAGTTACGTTGAAGATATTCCACTGGGATGGGTGGTACTGGTTCACGTGCCGGCGTTGCAGAACTATACACGACGGACCTTCAACGCTGGCGATGATGCCACTCTTAACTTTGTCTGACCGTGACGGGAGATGAAGCTGGTATAAAAGCCTCAAGTCAGGAGGTGTTGGTATTCGGTCGTCAGATTCTTTAAATGATTTAAACCATTTCTATTTATTTCTTCATCCCAAGCGCTTTCCACACAGCTTTGCACTTGAGAAGCACGGGAGATTGTAGTAGGACTTTTTCAATCCCTTCCACCAGCTCATCATTAGATAGAACTACTCTAGATCTATATGTATTATAAAACTCGAAATCGGAAATATTGATGTTTCCTCGCTGTTCACTTATTCTTGTTGAGCCGTAATTTCGTGAGGAAATGTAATTCAAGATGTAATTCAAGCTCACCACCTCGCGTGTCAAGTCGTATCACCTCACAACTATCATCGACGGTGCCAACCATCCCTTGAGCCTTTTTTAAAGCGTGAATTGCGGATTGCATAGGTATAGCATCATCTCAACAGTCAAAAGCATAGAGACTAGTACACCTGGAAACACGGATACATATCTAGTCGAGAAAAGGTTTGCTATCCTTTGAGTTAAAATGAATGAAAATCCCAACCTTACATGTGTGTTTTCTTCTATTTATGGGGAAATCTCAAACCAATTCTCTGTCTGTTTGCTCAATCAACTCCTCAATGACCGGCTGAGGCCGACTCAGCTGGGGTTGAACTCTGACGAGGTGGTGTGCTCAGACCTGCTCAGACTTAAGTTCAGGTGTGATCGAAGCCTCGATCACCTGCGCCCCCGGGTCGAATTATCCGACCCGAATCTACCTACATGATCGAAGCGCGACGGGGCGGACGGAGAGCTACCGAGGATCAAGTAATTTGTCAAAGCTGGACATAGGCTTATTCAGCGGGGATAACCAGATTCAAAGCATTCATTCTCAATCTTCATTCTTCAACCATCAAGCTTAATCATCTTCAATCGATTAATCTATTCTTCGAGTAAAAAACCAACTTGTATTATCTATTCACATCTCAGAAGTCATGGCACCATCAGGTAAGCGACACTTGAGCAAATGACCTAAATCGCTGGGTACATTTACCATCATGCTGTGCTCTCAATGGTCGATCACTCGTTGACTTTTCTACAATCTTTCACTTAGCGGTAAACCTCACGCCCGACGAACGTACTGCTTATGCTTACCTTTTTTCCAAGGCCGACACAGAGCAGATCGGGGTCTTGGTGGGCGAAAAGGCAGTAGCATTTGTAGGTTTTCTTTTACTTGACCAGTTTCCCTTTACCGCATGAGCTGATCTTTTTAATCCTTAACAGTTTTCGCATTCAAAGTTACCACCGACAATCTTAGGAGAGATATGGCAGTTAGCCGATCAAGATAATGCCGGTTTCCTTACTCGTCCCCAATTCGATATCGCCTTGCGTCTCATTGGTAAAGCACAACGAGGTATCCCTATTAATTCAGCAGCGATCTCTACTCCAGGTCCACTCTGCCGTCTTGAAGGATTTACGATTCCTGGAATCGCAGTCCCTAGTAGTCCGCTCCCATCTGTCAGCGCGCCTCCTGCTGCAAAGGCAGCATCATCGGTGCAAGATCCACTGTATATCATCCCCGAATCAGACAAGACAAAGTACGTTAGGATGTTCATGAACGCAGGACCCAATGATGGTCTTCTAGATGGGGAAAAGGCTCGGGACATCTTTATCAAAAGCCAATTGAGCTTTGAGAAATTAGGACAAATATGGTTTGTCTAGTTCTGGTTATGCCCTAGGATGGCAATATGACAGTACAGCATCAACTTGTTATATTGACGTTTGTTTCTGAGTCCCTCTAGGACTCTTTCCGATACCCAGTCACGCGGTTCACTGTCGGTAGGAGACTTTAGCATCGCAATGCATCTTATTCAATTATGCATGTCAGGTCGGTTAGCCACTTTACCGGCGCAATTACCACCCAGTCTGATGGAGTCAGCCCGATCACCTGTCAATCCGGCATTGGTCCGAGCTCTCTCCCCTCAAATGACTGGTCAGCCTTCACAGGTCTTGAACCATTCTACTGGTTCCCAAAGACAAGCAACTTTGAATAGCTCTATACGACCACAGTATACTGGACAACATGCTGCTGCCACAATGCCTCCATTAGCTTCGTCGAGTCAGGCTCTCTCCGCGTCCGCGACCTTTCCACCTCAAGCACAATGGGACATTAGTCCGGCCGAACTGGCCCAAAGCAACGTGTTTTTCGAACAACTTGATCCTACGCGACAAGGCTTCATCACGGGAGACCGAGCTGTACCTTTCATGATGGAGAGCAAATTACCTGGGGAGACCTTGGCGCAGATATGGGACTTGGCTGATATCAGAGGAGAGGGTCAACTGACCCGCGAGGAATTTGCGGTAGCGATGCGTTTGATCCAAGATACTCTGGCGGGAGCCAACGAAAGTTTGCCTACGCAACTGCCGGTGTCAATGATCCCACCTTCCCTAAGAAGAGGTGGGGTCCCATCCGCTACAATGCCCCCAGTCCAAGGCAAGTTCAGACTGAATCCCACCCCGCGATATCCATGGGGTTTTACTAATTTGACATCTACCATTGCTCCACTCAGCTTCTGATACAACGAATGATCTTTTGTCGCTGATGGATGATCACGAGCCAACTCACACCGCAAGTCCAGTGGCAACCATGGCTCCAATATCAGCTCAAAACACTGGGCAATTACCCCAATCGTCCATACTTTCTGCTCAAAGGACGGGTGCGTCGGTGATCGGATCTATGTCTAGCGTACTATCACCACCAACATCCTCAAGTGGAATGAACTTCAACGCCCAAGCTGTACCTCGTCAATTCACTGGCCAAGGTGAGGCTTTCTTTGAAAGATATTGTGTAGAGTTACTCAAATCTGATGTAGTCCATATATCTCACTTTAGCAAACACTTTACCCAGCTCATTGGAAGACAGCGGCGCACGTCTCGGTAATCTACACACACAAGTAGCTTCTACTGACAATGCTCTAACGCAACTACGCACGGAACACGGACGATTAGAAGGGGACATCGGTAGTACTTCGGAACAGATTCGGACCCTGGAGACTAAGCTGTCCACGTCTCGTGCCGCTCATCAAACTGAAAGTCGGCTGGTGGAAACGCTACGCGCTAAGCAAACTGAACAGCGAACTGTAGTGAAGCAGTTGACTGAAGAGGTGATTCGCGCCGAATCAGAACTATCGGCCCTCAAGATGGAAAAGAGTCAAATAGAAGGCACCGTCTTGCGTGATAAAGAGGATATACGAGATATGAAGAAGAAAATGGCCGAGCTACAGGAACAGACGCAACAAATTCGAACCGCTTTGGAGTCGCTGAAGAAGGATTCAAGGCTTCAGAAAGGTCTTGTGGCGATCACCAAAAAGCAGGTTTCTACTATAGAAGGTCAAAAAGATCAAGCTACGAAAGAACTGGCCGGTTTACAAGGAAGTATTCCAGGTGCTACCGACAGTACAACAACGCGATCCCTCACACCTGTACCTTCCGTAACATCCCCTTCAGAGTCAGTCTCTACGATTACAAAGAGCACGAATCCCTTTGCGAGTATGTTCTTGTCCAAATCTCCTCAACCAATTGAACAAAGCCCCACAGGATCGAATTTTGGTCAAGAACGAGCTATTTCTGCAGCCAAAGAACCAGATCCATTTGCAACATCCCTGGAATCCTCGCGTCCGACGGAACAGCCGCACGAAGAAAATCATGTTGACAGTTCTACGCATACTGAGAAGGAGAACCCGCCGGCAATTGGATTTGATGAAGCCTTTGAACCGAACGAGTCGACATCGACATCCACTGGTCCCCCTGTTTCCTCTCCTAGTAATCCAGCAGTAAGGCCAACAATTAACGCTCCAGGATTACAACCTTCTCAAGCCGCTCAGCCTCGAGGAGATGATGATGATTTGTCATCAGATGAAGAAGAAGTAGAAGAGGCAACTGGGTCGAAATTGCTTAGTTCATCTACAACGCTCAAACCTCAGAGCTCGATGGACCTTAAATTCCCACCGCTTTCAGATGGCGAATTTTACGCAACGGGTTCTGACGAAACTCATCAATCGCATAGACCTTCTACTTTGGTCCAGGCAGGTGATGCGTTTTATTCTGCTCGAAGTGGTTCATTTGGTGGGAATTTCGGTTCTCCTAGCGATGCTCAACATCCTGAAAGTTCAGATTTTGACTCTACACTCGACACTAAGCCTAATCCATCAGCTGCGAAGCCTTCTGGGTTTGGTGATGACCTTGATGTGTCCGACTTTGCGACGGACTTTGGACCTGAAGCAGGAAAGGCCACCACTGCAACCATGGAAGACTTTGATAGTGCATTTGCTAATCTTCCTCCGCCATCTAAAGTGACAGATCAGCCAACTGAAGCAGTAGGTAATGGTGCTGGTGAATCTCAAGATACGTTTGATAATACTTTTGGAGATGACTTTGTTACTAAACCATCAACGGGAGCACCAGTTGGATTTGATGACGCCTTTGCGAATTTCAATGATCATTTCACAGCACAACCTACTCAAACTTCATCAATTGCTAATGATTCAAATGAAGTCGATCCATTTGGTGGTTCATCTACTTCATCTTTACCTCCTCATCTACCACCTAGGAATCCGGAAAAGAATGATCAAGATTTACCTAGAGATGATGATAATGATGGAGTTAAACAGATTTGTGCAATGGGATTTCCACGTGAGGTAGCTATTGAAGCATTGAAAAAAGATGAAGGAGATGTAGAAAGAGCTTTGAATCATTTATTAGGAGTATAAGATCCTCAACAGAATTAAGTTAAATCTATTTATAGGGTTTTTGTATAAATTATCATGCAATGGTTTTTTTTGTTTTTTGTTTTTGCCTATCTTTTATTAACACATTCCAGTCTTTCTTTTATTAACTTTATATAACTTTTTATATTCATCTTAAATTGTTTTGATTGTTGGGTTGAATAGTTTTTGTTTTTTTTTGTCTTGTGAAGGAGATGGTGGATAGGTGAAGAAGAAGGTTCTTTGAGGTTTTTTGATTTGATGGAATGTCATATGATTCTTTGTAAATTGAGGTTTGTCTATTTAGAGAGACTGTGATGTAAACACGATTTCTCTTGGTGATCTTTTTCAATCATTAACCGATAAGATGAAGGTCTTGCAAATTACAATTCACATGTTTGTCCATCAAGATCCTTGCTGCCTTTGGTGTGCTTACAGTGAGATTCTTTGGCAACCAGTTTATAGTTGGCTTTCCTTTACGGAAGGATGTGGTTGACATCACAATTGGTATACAAATCTAAGGCAATATAAGATTAAGGTGGTGACGCAAGAAGCTATTCTTTAATAATCTTTCCTGAATGCATTGTAAAAACATGAAAAGGTGGCCTGCTACGTGAAGCAAACACTTGGCCTGGGGCCATGAGTCCATGACATCTGCTCAGCGCAGTCAGTCCACTATTTGAATTGCAGTCTGTGGTTGCATACCCAGCTTGCCCGCAAACTCATTTCTACTGTGATCGATCGTTTTTCATTACCGACTCAAGATACTCAAACATCGAACAATGAATTTGTAGTCTACAAACAGCCCTTTTTGTAAAACACCTTCCCATGTGATGAAGTGTCAAGCTCTTCTTGTAGAATGCTTTTTGTCATGGACCCAACCACCCGCGACTGAGCAAAAACCTTCCAAGTTTTCCTGTGATCACGCCTAGAGTGCTTTTAATCACATTGCTCACAAAAGACAAACCCGGTATATCATCGCTAACTCCACTCATGGCCAGATCAGTGGCTAAGTTATCGTGCTGCCTAATATAAGTCAATTTGATTCAGCTTCCAGTTTGTCCCACATGCACCATTCTCCTGAAACTCGACATACCTCCAGATCCGATACTTGCCATCGCTACATTTTCTCAGATCTATTCGAACCAAGAAATGCAATCTGTTGCGCCTTGAAAAATAGCGCGAGATCGGACTCCATCGCATTGTTACGTGCTCGGTCAACTCTGAGAAGAGAATTGCATGAACGAAAGATTGATGAGGCGCATCAGAAATCTCTCATTCTATTTGTGAACGTACCGCTATGGAGGTAAAAGGTTCATGAATATCTAAAAACTAACCAATGGTACCCTGCGTCATGTCTTCATTGAACATCACCGCATGGAATTCTATTTTGTTGTCAATAGTCCAAACTCGACTGTAAAATGAGCAAGAAATGATAGGATGAGACTCGTCAAGGCGGATTTGAGAAGGTAACAAAAAGAAAGAACAAACACGCGCACAGCATTTTGTAGATACCAACTAGATCGTCCCTTCCATTTACTGTATGCGGTTGATTGAATGCTGGGTGAAGGATATATGCATCAGCAGTAAAGTACCTAAATCAAAGCAAAATTCCTCCAAGTGTATCAACATTCAGTGTTCAGGCCTCTCATGGTCATTTTTATCAACTCACTTTTCCACATTTTTGGCTAGGGTAGTTGCTTCGTAGGGTTCAGTTATGGATCGCACAACGTCCTTAATCTATTACGTATTTCAGGAATGATATGAGTTATTTGGAGTTTCCAGCTGGTGCCGTTTCACTCAGGTCATGACTGGAATGTAGAGGCTAAAGAGTAACACCAAAAAGAATGACCACTCACCTCGGCAATTGGATTGTCCATGGAGACGGCAGCACTGATAATCCTTCTTGGTAGACTAAGAAGTTGAACCGGAAGATGTAAACAACCAAAAAATGTTCTCAAAAGACCCTTCGAAAGTAATCGGATGTAACGGGGATGTGTGAAGCCAGCGTGAAGATGAGGCGGAGGAAACTTGAGGTGGGGTAAGGGCTCATCTTTCTATAGCTTTTCAGCAAGGGCGGGCGGAGAATGCATAATCGGACTCCACAAACATATTTCAGTTTTGTTAGGAACTACGTATTCATTCCTTAACTCCAATGTCCGTTAAGCAGGGGCTCTCGAAACCCACAGCTTACACGAAAGAAACAGCACTTCCACAAACATGTAGCACTCTAGTACACAAGGAGCTCACGTTGAATCAGTCTTTAGGTGTAGTTACGCGAAATACGGCGTACATACCAGAGTCTTGAGAGCATCAAAGCCCGGCCGCCGTGAGGTAGAAGAGCGGAACATTAAAGATGGTGGCCAATGCAAACGCATTCAAGTAAGCAAATAATTCTGAAGTATTCCATGTCGCATTTCAGCAAGTAAGATCCGATGGTACTACCAATCTCCTCCGATCGTTCATTCTCATCAGCTCTCAACTCAACCCGCAACCAATGAATGCAGCCAATTCCTCCTGCGATGAGTGGGAAATGTCTTATAGGCATTATCCATTTTACCAAGACATCTTGTTCTTGCGGTATCACTGGATAGCTCTTATTTCTCGATCCTGGAAAACTATATACATAGTCAAAACATTCAAGAACAGTATACGCGTTTTCCGTGGTGTTGAAATGTTTCAGCCCACTCACGATGCAAGATTGATGGCAACACGAATTACTTGCATTCATAATTACGTAGCAAAGATATGATTGCGGGATCTAGTGTTGTAGTGAATCACATGTGACGAATTGGCTATTTCATTAGAGATCATTTCGATCTGCAAGTTCCCAACACTCAATTTCGTGATCTTCGTTATCATTAGATGTGATAAATTGTGTGCGCAATTTTGTGTTCATCGTGATCAACTTCCCAGTGCTAGCCCAAACAGCTGATATGTTTTGGGTGAGGCATGTGCTCAAGAATTTTTTAAGAGGTAGAGTCATGTGCTGTAATGTCATCTGATTTGTGCGTCATTATATCTCTACTCAACGCCTCATGCTGGCTACCAGATGAGGGGATTGTGGTTTGACGCTGACATGGAGAATATTGTAATGTAAGTTTGAACTTTATGTATAGAATAGATTAGCTGGAATTGTATTCTTTTCTGACTGTCTCCCAATGTTTCTCAATAATAGTTTCCAAGAGATTTCCTTTTGCCTCATGGTATCAACACAGTGGTTTTTGGCAACCGTCTGGGTTGAATTTCTTCATCCAATCTTACAAATTTTTCTGTGCTCTTCTCTTGATTTGATGTTTCCATGTACGGTTATCAGGTGAGAAAAGAATGTCAGAAACAGTTTGGGAAATGGGAAAAGAAGTCAAATTGCTCTTCTTGTAAGACAGCCTTTGGGATGTAGGGGTAAATATGTTTGGTTGCTTCCCAGATAGTACTTGTCTTGGTTTTATTTTTCTCAATGTTGCACTTTGTTGTTAGATTTATATCACCATGCCCGTGTGGTGTTCACTTGTTGACGTGCGCACATGAGTTGCCTTTGTGCCTCATAGGGAGTCCGTGTGCGCTCGTCGTTGGGCGACTGCCACAAGGACATGGTGCATACCATTCCTCTTCCTGTTATTTCAAAATTTCACCAATCAATGAGGATTGGATTTTTCACCGAAGAGACAGCAGGGAGGGTCTTTGTTACCTTGATTGAATTTGCAATCATTTTATCATCACTGATCTTAATTGGCTGTAGGGTATGTGTTGAACTTTAATCTGTTTTTGACATTGCTTTATGGTTGTATGATTGGATCATTCACTTTGTTTTGATGTTCTGTCTTTTAAGATAAGTTTATTTCATAACAGCAATTTTATCTTTAATCCAATCATTTGGTTTCTTCTTTGTATTGTGCTTCAACCTTTTTCTTCTAAATATTCACTTTTTCTACTTTTTTGATTGTTTGGTTTACATTTTTCCAGGCTGTACATTGTTCCAATTCAGTCGTGGGAAACATGTGAGTAGAGTTGATGTTTCTTTTGGAGTTCACATGTGGAAATCCTCAGGTGACCTCTTCCAAAGTGCCCTATTCTTGATCTTATATGTACCATCAGGGGATACAAAGTAATTTTTGGGCATGTTCACAGAATCCTTTTGGATGTAACTTTGAATGCTGTGCCTGGCCTCTTTGCCCAGAAAATCCAAATTTACAGCCAAAATAATTCTGTGCAGAAGCCCGGATTCTACTTTGTATCCTGCAAGTCTTTGCAGGACTATTGTGATTAAGTCCAATACTCATGACATTGGGTTGTCAAATTTCAAATCAGGGATGGAAAACACACATTAATCTCATGAAATTACCTCTCTGTGATACATATTCATATTCACCAAAGCTTGAGCCCAGGATCAGTTGTATTATACACAAGCAGGGAATTTATCTTCCTCAGCTCCAAATTCAAACCATCTGTGTATATCTTTGGGTTTCCGCGCACTTAATATATCTTCTCTTGCATATTATATCCCTGCAACATTTTTAATTCCATCACATCATATTATTGCCTGGGCATTGTTGCATGTTGCATGTATACTATTACGAGTCATGTACATGGGCATATGGATCAACAACACCAGTGTATTAACTGAGGCTATAATGCCAAGAAAATTGGGCTCATGAAGTGCACACACCTTTTTAATCCTTCTACCAATGTGCACAAATGCAAACTGAGGTGCAAGCCATGACATACCCCTAAGTACACTTTGGGAGGCTGCTTTGAAATATCCTAAAATATACCAATATGCATCTGGCTGGTATGAGAAGCAACATTCTGATGCATGAAGCTAGGGCCACCCTGGACTTTCTCCTTGGGATTTGTTATGAGAAAATCTTGATAGACGATTCAGAGCTTATACCAATTGGCCTGCAGTGAAGTGAGGCTGGCCAAAGGAGCACAGGGCATGGCTAATTTGGGCAAGGTAAGTACTTGAGGAAAGGTTTTTGTCACTTTATTGATTGGCAGGGAAAGTACCTAGAAAAGTATCCCTGTGCTGCCCCCAGGTTCATGTGGTGGGCGCGGCACAATTTTCGGGCGCGTCTTTTTTGGTTTGAATTGGAGTGGGCGCGCCCATGAACCAAAGCATGTGATCTACAAAGTTTTCTGCTGAAATCAGTCCTCTCCCACCTTCAAATCATCTCAAATCAATCAATGTGTGTTATGGGTACCACCCCACACCATATTCTTCCAGTCATGGAAGCATTTACAGTTTGGATTGAAAGTTACCCCAACAACAAAATTTCAGACTACATTGATAGCAACACATGTTCATTGATTTTTTTTGATTTGGTTGATTTTTGTTGTACTATTGCTGTTGAATTTGTTTATAGGGTGTTGATACAAGATTATTAATTTTTTATGGGTTGTAGAAGATATGGCTGACAAAGCATCATCAAAAACTTGGCCAATTTTTGTCCTTTTTTCACGCCTCCTGCACCCTCTCACGCCCCCAGCCAAAATGAGGGCGCGCACTTTTCTTGAGCTCGCGCCCACCACATGACCCCAGGTCCAATTGATTGACTAAACCTGGTCACAAGTTGGGCTACAAAACCTTTGGGCACATTTGACTAGGCCAGGTCCAGAGATTTACTGTACTGTAATGCATTAAAGAGAATTGAAGAGAATCCACAGTGGTCAGGCTACACATTGGGGCTACGAATTGCCAAACCAAAATTCAGTGGCCCAAAGAGGTCTGGGCTCCAAATGTATACAGGGTATGTGTATACACACACTTTGAGGTGTGGTACACATGGAGATGCATGGGCTTTGATATGTGAGGTATGGGGTTGGGCAAGTGGTGAAATTTGGGGCTCATTGAGATGTTGTCAAATCCCCCACTGGAAGCTCAAAATTGGGGCTTGGCCGCAAGAGAATTGAGTGATAGGGACTTCTACTGCAGCACAATTCAGGGACCCCAATTGGTGAATTTTGCAATACCCCCAGGTTTGAGTGCACCATGCTACAAGGAAATGTGATATTGGGGCCCAATTCAACCATGCAAGCTTATTGGTTCTTGACATACAAAGGACTATGTGTTCCAGTGGGGTACAAAGGAGGATAGGCTCAAGCATGTTTTGTTGTATCATCTGCACTAGACTTGTTCATGTCAGAGTTGGTAAATGTCACCTTTTATGCGGACAACTTCTTGCAAAAAGTGCCTCTCAAGACCAAGAGGTGGTTGGGAAGTGACACAATCACAAATACCCAGTATGCATAGATTCACTCTCAACATAAAATCTACCATGTACCCACCCATCATGCTCAAGTTGACCACACAGCCAGGAGGCGTGGTATGAGCAGACCTATCATAATATGGGTTGCTTGATTTTTTTGTATGTGCTTCCAATGCTGCCAGTTCGTGTCCCTGCATTAGGGACCTGGGCCAACAAACACTCTCATCAGCTATGCTGGAGTTCATGAGAAGTATTTCTGCGCGTGAGAGTCAACGTGGTAACAGAGGAGAGCAAGATGAAAAGAAAACATTCACACGAAACTTGAAGAAGCAAATATAAATTTTGTGCCACAAACTCTTCAAATCTTTAGCTTGACCAATACGCTCAATGCCAAATAGATGAAAAAAGATGGAATAAGATTTTTCATACTCAAATCTAGTTAAAAAAAGCTGATTATATGAAACACCAATTGGGATGCAGGGCAACGTCAAAGATCTCCCCTAATCATTCAATCTGCACCTCAGGCAAACGGAATTGTTTTGTGGGCGCCACAAGCCCGTTCATTGCACAAAAGTTCTCGCCTAAAGATCAATATGTTAGCTCCTGCTGGTATATACTGAAGAGTTGAATGATTTGACGCTTACCTTCTTTCCTTCAGCAGATGCACCAGTGAAAGGATCCTACAGACACGAAATATCAAGAATTGTCCGGCAAATGACAGACAAACAACGATATCACATACCATCTTTTGATCCTTTGCACGCTCCGTTGCAGCCTCCTGCCATTCCTTCGACATAGTATGAGGCAGCTCAGGAGCTGGAGAGATGCCACATTCATGAGCGATTAACATTTAAGCCCGGGTCTTTGTCAATAGATGAGATAACACTTACCATTGAGTCGGATCGCGACAAAGATGGCAATGGCGGCTGTCACACAACCAGTGATACCCAAAAGGAGTTTGAGACCTGATCCTGGAGGATGTATAGGTTCACGAGGACCATGTGGACCAAAAGAGACCCAATAAGCTGTTGTGAAAAATGACGTAGGACCATATATTGCTTCAGTTGACGGGATGCTATGTAAACTGATCGGCGAGACAAATCTTACAAGCTTTTTTCTCATCTAATGATAGTTGTTTCCAGTCCTTTTTCTGGAGTCCCTCCAAGTGGTGGAAGATAGATTCTTGTTCTTGTGGGGTCATCTCTTTCCATGCTGCTTCGATCTGAAATGCAAATTAAGTGATATCAGCCGAGTTCGATGATCAAGTTAGCTGGGATTGAAAGCTACATTACTGATGGAGGGGACAGATTGACTGGTTGCGGTAGATGAGTGATCGGATGGGACAGCGATAGTGGCGTATCCTTGACCATTAGCAGAGATCGAAGGGATTGATTGTCTGAGTTGTGGGACAACCTTGGTCGAAGCAGAGATCTGACGTAGAGATCGGGTTCCGATTGATCGAAGCATGTTGAGAGAGTCGAAGTTGATTGAAATGAGAAATAATCGACGATCGAAAGGGTGGAGGTGGAGAGTTTGAGTTGTTTTGTTGTACGGTCAAGGTGTACAAAGTTCTGGTTAGGGACTGTTCGGAACCAAGAGAGATGAGGGAATATTGCCAGTGACATTTGTACTGATCATGTCCAGCCTGTGACATGCTTCGGCTGAAACCAGCCACGTCGGATGTTGCGCAGTGAAAACCTTATGTTTGACCTAGATAGCCTGCTGTTACATAGGGTTCACAGTGAGTGTGTCTCTATTGAGCTCTTTCACATGTGTACTTTCCGCGTAAAGTGCTCATTGACACCCGGCAATTTGATGGGGGCCATTATGTATGCACCTCACACGCACTACCTTGTGCCCAGCTGCATTTATGTCGAGACCGCACTCATGCATGCCTCACTCACTGTGTGTATTATGTATGCGACCCCTCTCCTTGAAGCTGATTACCAAACCTCCTTTCTTTACTGCTCAGCAAGACTTCTCAATGGATGATGGCACCCTTCACCTTACCTACCCTTGGACCAACTAACATTCAACATCGATTGCTGTCTTATCTTATCAAGCGATTCCTTGGTCCATTTCTAAAGGATCGTGGCCTTTCCCTTGACTCTCAAATCAATAACCCTCTTAACTCTGATTCATTCACCATCAACAATGTCGATCTGGACCCAACCACGATGCAAGACATCTTGTCGAAAACTGGACTATCTCTCAAGCTACAATCCGCCTCCCTGGACACCTTTTCATTACGGATAGAATGGCCTCCTTGGTCTCTGTCTTGGGATAACTATGTTCCTACGGTCAATATCCGTTTGCAAGGAATCAGGCTGGTCCTTGCTGTGACATCTGAACACATGCAGCCTGTGACTTCAAATTCAAATTCAATATCAGATTCATTATATTCGTCAACACGAAACATAGATCTCGCCTCAAGTATCGCAGAGTTGGCTGATGAGTTTGCTCGAAACGAAGGCTCGGCTTCATCTACAGATGAGCTTGATCATCAACTCCCGGGTGCATTTGCCTCACAACCCAACATCAAGGAGGCCACAAAAGAGCCTGACCGTCGAGGGCTATTTGCGGGACTGATCGAAAAAATATTGGCAAAGCTGTCATTCGAATTCGAGAAATTTTCGATCCAAGTCAGGCATGGACAAGCAGAACTACACCTGACGATTGACGGTGGTTCTACGGCCCCAGACTCAAAGGAGAATCTTCCGAAAACTCTTTCTCGTATCTTTCAAATGTCGCCGCCCACGATATATTTCAAGGACTTGACACCCCAACCTCCTTCCCGCACTAGTACACCATCAGCATCATCTTCCACTGGATATGAATCACTTGAAGCCAATGACGACATGCTCATGTCGCAGGCCATTGCCGATCTTCGCATGTCCGTTGCTCCACCTGCTCCACCAAAGCCACGTGATGCTCCGCTAGAAAGTTCTATCCAACATCAGGATTATATCTTTCTTGAATTCCAGGGGGGGCCTTTGTTGCCAGATGAGTCTCATGTCTTGACAGACGATAATCCTAGCGGACTCGACAGATTGGTAAACTATCACGAAGCTTCCAGTCCGTTTGGAGACACAGAAGAAAGAACTCGGATCCTATTTGTCATGACCTACACGCCCCCGCCCCTTCAATCAAACAGAGACGCTACTTCTGCTTCGATCGATGCTCAACCCGGAGAAATTTGCGAATCTACAAGTGTTGCTCCCACTCCCAATACGAATATATCCAGCGCTCGAAATCCCCAATACAAGATCGAAATCTGCTTGCCAATTCTCAGCATCCACGTCCACTCGCCTTCGGAAATTGAATTATGGAAGTCAATCTTGTCTGATTTGACTGGAGACTCTTCGGATTCATCTGCATCGCCGGCTGCTGTTGCAACATCATCACACACACAGGACAAATCAGCTGCCCTAGATATCAACCTATACTGTCGCCAAGTGTCATTGAGAGTAGATTGCAGCCCCCAGATGAAGAGAGGCTACACGCATGCTGACATGAATGCTGCTCCAAAGTCTTCACTGGAACTGTCATTGAAGGCTTTAACATTCTCACAATCTCATACACCTGTTGACCGGCTGAATTGTAACACTGCCCTTGTACCACTCACTGACCTTGATGTAGCCAAAATTACCATTGTCGCAAAGTCAACAGCCAACCCTCACGAAAGTGTTATACTTCAAGTACCCGCATCAGATTCCGTAGATCCAGCCCTTTCGATTCAGGTTACCAGCCAACGAACGCAAATCACATCTGGTTATGCGCGATTTGACATTGGCTTGGAACTCTATTCAAGTTTTCAGCACTTATTTGAGACTTTGGGTAGTCAATCGAGTCCAGCTGTGGATGTCATCACTCCGACTGGCGATAAAGAACATGTTAAATACAAAAAGCGATCAAATCTCGAATCCGACGTCTTGACTAAAGCGCCTCATTCAATTTCGTTCTCCGCCCAGGATATTGTCCTTAGAATCAAAGTGAATTGCTCCAAACACGGTAGCCGAAATAAACTCGATTATCGTGAAGATGGCGTCTCTTTAGGAATCGCTCTGCAATCTGTTCAAGTTGATCACTCAGCACCATCAGGTTTCCAGTGTACAGTGCATTCGATTGCCGCTGAACTAAATCCGCCACCTTCCACATCAGACCATCGCTGTTCTCCAGAAACGACGTTTCTGGTCCTTACGCCTAACCTCGACCCCACTTCTGGTCAAGCCAAGAACGAAGAGCCTTGTATCACAGTTACATACGGCTCGGTTGAACACAGCGATGAGCTCGGACCGATGGGATGCACCAGGAAGCCAGACCCGGCAACAGTGAAGGTGGCGCTGGTCCGAATAATGCTCAACAAAAAGCGATTCGACCGATTGCAATATTGGTTAGACGATTTGAGCACATGGGCTATCCAATTGTCCAACCCATATGCCGACTCGATCGCAGCTCCATATGTCAGCGATATACCCATCCAAGACGATGTCAACTGTCGTTCGGCTTCATTGTCCCCAGTCTCATCATTGCGAAGTGTCCGATCCCGCCCGAAGCCTCTTGAGACTACCTTGAGCGTTGGAAGGATTGAGCTAAAGATCGATTTATCACAGGAAAACGCAGATCTGCTGAGCCCCTCTGCTCAACAAACAGCTCAGCTGATGCTAACCTTACAAGACTTTTCGATATCGCAGACTACCAACAGATTGTCTACGCCACAAACAACATCAGATCACTCATCTGATACTACCTTGGTTCTCGTCATCGGATCCATTAGGGGCACGTTGGAGCACGAAGCAGAAGTATCAGAATTGATCCGATTAGATGAGACAGGCAACGCTCCTTCAGTTAGTTCATTGATACTGATCGAGGGTAGACTAAAAAGGCTAATCTCTCATGGCGTTCACACTGCATAGAACATGAACCGTTGCGCAGTGTCTATAACGATCAGGACTACTGGATCTTTGGCGAATTCATCTTCCAAGACAATCATGGTTGATCTCGTTGTCCGAGGTATCATTTTACACATCGGCCCGCAATTCACATGGATTCGAGATTTACTAGAGTTTGTCAAGGCACCTCCCGGTGTGAGCTTCTAAGCTTTTTATCTCTTCACTGACTTTGATCTGATGATGATTGAGAGAAATCCGTGTTGGTAGGCATTTGAAACTCCGGGTCCAAACTATCTGACTCGAGTGCGCATCTCATTACGATCGACTTCAATAAGAGTTTCACCGCCTCCATCCTCTTCGAGTGACAAGACTCCACAATTCATTCTCGCCGGATGCTTTGATGATTTCGGTTGTAATGTGAAATTGGATCCATCATCCTCAGATGTATCGCCGGAGATACAGGGTACATTGACCCTGCTATTGGCTGAAGGTCAGAGTGTGAGTAATCTTCTGGCTATGTATCAGTTTATCACTTTGTATCAATAGCTGAGGTTGGTTTATCTATCAATTGACTATGATGAGCCAGAGTGTGTTTGTTCGTCTGGCTAGGTTCTCGAATCTACGGATTGGAGTTTCTTATTCGACAGAAACCGGTAGACTACGAGTTGAGTGATATCTCAGTGAATTGTGAGATTTGACATTCTGATAAATTATCTCCTCTTCACCATTAGGGATGTGTGCACAATGGATCATTGGGAGTGTCGCTATGTGCTGACTCGACTGAGAGCTTAGGTGATGTGATTGCTGGTTTGGGTCGAATATCGTTGACGGAACAGAAGCCTGAGTAAGCTTTCTCAGCGGAATGCGTATACAAACGCATAAAGATTGACTCTCTTCTTAATTTGTCACGTTGCGACCATCTAGGGTTGAACTCGATTATGATCACGCTGAAGAGCCGTCTCAGAGTCAAGAAGACTTACAAGCTAGTCTATTAAGTAAGCCTCAACCCGATAAGCAACTTGTAATCCAAACTGACCATCAACAAACTGATGAATAGAATCAGCAATACAAGACACTCGTTTTCGTAAACCGCTTTTACCATTTGAACTGGGTGAAGACTTGGTACATGAGGATTACCCCTCGGATGCTAATTTTGTGCAAACTAATTCGACCCGAACTGGTCTTAAAACTAAACTTACCGACTCACATCTTCCTTCTATCATCCGAAATTTACATCCTGATGGTCTTAATATCATTGATGATTTCTTATCATTACCTCCAACTCGCTCAAAGCCTTCTACTCGGTAAGTGATCGGATCCCAAATGATATATGAGCATAATTTTGGATACCTTTCTGATGATTGTCTATAGAGTGATTGTGACCGAATTCAAGGTTGAAAACTTTGACGTCTCAATAGGTCTTCATGAAGGATATGATTGGGCTTCTACTCGCCATGCAATCGAAGAAGCAAAGAAAGCGATGAGAAAGCGCTTACAAAAATTACGACAACTGCTAGCGAAGGGACATTCGGATGAGAGTACTCTAGATGAAGAATTACCATCGACAACCCTCTTCAAGTCTGTCCATTTCGGTCTTCCGCCGTCAACTCGTAGCCTTACTACTGCACAATTACTCAATGCTATTGATCGTGAGTTGGATGATCCGGTAGGGGTTGTACCGAATGAAGATGTTAGTATTACTGGTAGTTGGCAAACCTTACCACCGGCTCCTAAAGAAAGAAGTGGACCTACGATCAATTGTTTATCTACCATAGGAAATTTACAAAGATCAAGACATCCAGCACTTGAATTCGTTCTGAATGAACTTACTTGTCGATTTCGAGTTTATGATCCAAGCCAAAATCCATTTGTGAAAGATTCCAGTAGTGAATCTTTGATGAGCATCAAAATCAAAGTCAATCAAGTTTCGATTCTAGATAATATTAAAACATCAACTTGGAAGAAATTCTTGACTGAACTTAGACCCAATGATGGAGGAAATCTAAGGTCGACTGGATCACCTATGTTACGTGTGAAGTTTGATTTAGTGGATTCACCTGATGAGGATGGAAAACAGGAAGCGATTTTGAAAGTGAGTGAAATGAAACCTATTATTAAAAATTTGAAAAGAAAGTGAATAATTTGAAAAAGTTTGTTAATGAGGTTTTATTATACATATATTTATACAGCTTAAGATTGTACCACTTAGGTTGTATGTTGATCAAGATGCGGTTGATTTTTTGAAAACTTATTTCGGATTTCAAAAAGAAAATCACCAACTTGATAGATCATTAAATGAGAAGAAAACCAAAGAGGGCATGTTTTTTCGTTAGTGAAGATTTCTAATCAGACCCAAAAAAGGAAAAAAATTAACCATGTGATTTGAATGAGACAATCAATTTCTGATAACTTTTTTCTGTTTCTTTTTTTCTTTTTTTCTTGTCAAATAGAACGAGTTGAAATTTTTCCTATTAGGATTAAATTAGATTATAAACCTAAACGAGTGGATTATATGGCTTTACAAAAAGGACAAGTGATTGAATTGATGAATTTTTTTCATTTTGATGGATCTGATATGACTTTAAGACATGCAGTTTTGATTGGTGTAAGTTAAATCCAATGATGATGGTTTTGAATTTGTTTCTGTTTTGCTAAGGAGTGTTGATGTGATGATGATTTGATTTTTTTTAAAAATTAGGTTCCTGGACCAGATAAGATTGGAAGTCTATTACAAGAGATCTGGACACCCGATATAAAAGCTAATCAATTAGCCGATGTGATTTCAGGAATCTCACCCGTTAGATCGATTGTGAATTTAGGAACCGGATTAGCCGATTTAATTTTATTACCCATCGAAGAGATCAAACGTAAAGACGGACGAATCTCCAGAGGATTACAAAAAGGAAGTCAATCGTTTGCCAAGAGTACAGCATTAGAAGCCATCAAGTTAGGGGCTAAGTTGGCTACGGGAACTCAAGTGGTTTTGGAAAAGGCAGAAATGATCTTAGGTGCAAAGGTTTCAGAAGAGATTCATGTTGAAACTATTGATCAAGGAATCGATTATCTTGATGAGAATTATGAAAAGGTTGAAGAAGAAGTTGAGATTCTTAGATCTGAACTTACCAATAAGATCAAAACACATGAGATGATTAGTCGATATGCTGATCAACCTGAAAATTTGAAGATGGGTGCTAAACTTGGATATCAAGATTTAAGAAAGAATATGAGAAGTACTGCTCAAACGATTTTGGCTATTCCATTAGAAGTCTTTAATGAAGTAAGTTGTCAAAAAAAAGAAATTCTAATCTTGAGATGTAAAAAAAACTTGACTGATTGTTTTTTTGTTTGGGATGGTGAAACTAAAAAAAAGGGATCAGGTCGTGCAGTAGTTAAAGCTGTACCTATTGCTATTTTACATCCGATGATTGGAGCTACTGGAGCGATCAGTAAGACTTTATTAGGACTTAGACATACATTGGATCCATTGACGATTGAGAATGATGAAGATAAGTATAAAAGATTGAAGAATTGAACTTGATCTTGAAACAAGTGTTTATGTAGGAAAAGGTTGTAGAGAGTATAGGTGGTTTGGTTTGGTTTGGGTGTTGTTGTTTAATAGTATGATGATTTCATTTTGGTTTGTACAATTTATAAACAATTTATTGTAATGAACATGAATGAATTTTTTTGTTGATTTGTATGATTAAGTTTGATTCTGTTATTATTTTTTTGGTTGAATGTTTCAATAATCATGTATATCTATGTACCAATATTTTTTTCTGTTGTTGTTGATATATTTGATTGTTTTTGGGAAGAGGTTTGAACAATTAAATCTCAAATACTTTTTGATTTTTGATTTTACTAATGTGGTTTGGAAGAGAAGAAGGATAGTTGAGAAAGTCTTGGGGTTGAGTTTGATTGAAAGTCTAAGAAGGCGCAGTTGCAGGTTTAAGGTGTTCTTGATTGAATTTGAGAAGTGGACTGTAAGATTGTAAAGCGTTTGAGTGAAGTGTATGTACTGAAATCGGAGTAAATCAATTTGTTACAATTATTACACTTTAGCTTGAACTTAACCAACCACACAACCAAACATAATATCAGCTTATCACCTCATCAGCTTATCACTATCACTCTCTATCACTCACTATCACCATTACTACTATATCAACTCAAGTCAAGTCAAGTCAAGTCAATCAACTCAAATCGATCAAATTAACTTTTCTTTCTTTCAAGAATGCAAAATCATCAAAATCAAAATCAAAATCAGCAAAATCCATCAACAACATCCACCACTACATCACCAGTGATCCTTTTACGTCGAAATGAAAGTGATCCAGCTCCATCCAACTTTCAATCTCATACTTTATTAATCGATGGAACTTCTAATCTGATCTCTAATTCAAATCAATTCATCTTTGGTTCAACTCAAAATGAGAATCTCATCAGATCACCATCACAATCAGATCACAATCAATCTTCATCACTACTTCATTCATCTACTTCTCTTCAGAACCCTACCATCTCAGATAAAACTCTAGATCCGACTGTTGTAGAGGCTATGATGACAGGTACAGTACGTGATAAACAGATCCTCTTACAAGCTGAAGTTGAAATGCTTCGATTTCTCACTTCAACGTATGTCTTTTGATCTCTCTCTCTCTCCCTATTGATCATCTCAAGACACTCTATCACTGATCTTGATTGCATCTTTAGACAAGATCGTCAACCGTTTGGTGCTGCTCTATCCACTTCATTAAACTCTTATCAACGGATGTTAGTACATCGTTTAGGTGACTCTTTTGGTATTAAGAGATCTATCGAGATGGGTCATATCTACATGGAACGAACACCTCTCTCAGCTTGGTAAGCTTCTCAATCCTCGCCACACCAACTAATTTGGATCATACTGAGATATCTTCATTTCTATCATAGTCCTTCAACTCGTCTTGATAGCTTTATTATTCGTCAGGATGCTTCACCATCAAACGCTGCTGTTTCTCCTCAGGAAAGGAGTCCTTCATTAAACATACCGAACATACCTCAAGAAGAAAAGATCGCGTCCTCTCCAAACACAAACGAAGTTAAAGCTTCAACTGCTTCAACTGCTCCTTTGAAAACCTTCAAGATCATGTCACGAACGCCTTCACAAAGATCTAGCTCACGTCAAACGAGTAAAGGTATCGCACCGTCTGCAGGATCATCTGTCTCATCTGCTGATGCAACCAACTCGGATGCCAAGAGGAATGAGCTTAGTTATGAAGCACGTCAGGCTGCCTATCAACAAGCACGAAACAGAATCTTTGCGGCTGGAACTTCAGAAAGTGCAGAAGATGATGGAATACCTAAAGAATCATCTGAATCTGAGACAACCACTAGCTCTAGGAATCTAGATAGTTCTCTGAATGATGATTCGAATCCATCTAATGATCAATCTGTTCCTTCGTCCAATGATCCTTCTTCCGGGAATGGACCGATCCGAATCGCTCAAGCACTTAACAAAGGAAAAGAAAAGATGATTGCCAATTCGAAATTTGTCAAACCACCAACCGTAGTAGCTAAACTTCGACCTGGTGCTACTGCTTTTGATCCGAATGCAAAAGCTCATGGATATGAAGAAGTGACGATTATTGATTTTGATGATAGTCAAGGACCGATCCCATGGTCTGCTCCTACTGGTTATGAATATCCTTCTGAACCTATCAGTCGTCAAGCTTATCATTCACGTCAGATTCGAGCTGGTCAATTGTATGGTAGTGATGCTTTTCCAATTCAATCTCATCCAGCTTGTGGTCCTTTGAATGGTGAACACGCTCATCACGATGGATCATATCCAATGTTTTCAACATCCAATGCACCTCATTATCTCGATTCACAGTCTGGACCTCATTCAGGAATGAATCCTATGGTGTCTTATGAACATCCTTCATCAAGAATCTTTCCACCTCCTTCTGGACCTATAAAGGGTGATCTTAATCGGTATCCTCAAAACTCTGGATTTCCAACTCCGTCATTTTCGATTCCTAATGGTCGATCTATCAATCCTGGTCCAACGATTCAATCAAGGATTCCAATACAACAAGATCGGTTTCATGTGACACCTTATTCAGGTGTTGATCATGAGATGGGAAACCAAGGATCAGATCGATCAAGAGGAACATATCTTTCAGCCGATTTAAATCCAGGACCAACTAGATCACACACTGTTCCACCATCACTACCACCACCACCACCACCTGAAAGTCAAAACCATCAAGGTTTAAATTTTAGTCATTCAATGTCTTATCCATCATTACATCCTATCTCACCTAATCCACCACCGATTCCATCGGTTCATATGAATCATTCATCATATCAAGTTAATCATTCTAATCATCATCCATTTGATTCACAGTTTCAAACGACCAATTCATCTGTTCATCCAACTTCTGGTCGTGATTCTGGTACCTCATCTGTTACCCATTTAACTCCTCAAGCTCAATTCCATCCTACATTAATCACGCCACCTACTTATGCTTCAGATCCTAATATTAATCCGAATTCTAATCATTCAATAATAGATTATTCTCAAGTAGTGGATCCACGTCTTTCAACTTTGAATGGAAACCACAACAGTAGTAGTAGTAATAGTAGTGGTAGTAATGGAAATCATTATCTTGGACCATCTTCATCATCTACAAATCATCTGAATCATTCAAACATGAATCCTTTCTTACCTTTACCGACGGTTTCATTAAGGTTTGATTCGATGAGTCAATTAAGATCACATCCTTCATCCTCTTCGATCATTTCAGATGAAACATCATCTTCTAGTAATCAATCATCATCTAATCTAACAGCTGCTTCTAATTTATCGAAACGTCAAATGAATGGAGGAAGTTTAGGACATGATTCATCTGGATCTGGATCTAGAAGTCATTTGGGATTTAAAGCCGGCAGTCAAACGGTTGGAGGAACTAGGACGGGGTATTTCAGTTTGAATCAACTTGGAATCTTTGGGAGTGAGAATGGAATGAATGGAATGAAGAATAGGTATGAAGCTGGTAGACCTGCATCCGTGGGAGGTGTTTCGAATTGTAGTAGTTCTAATGGATCGATTCATAGGAATCAGAATGGGAATAGTAAGAATCAACGAAACAAGAATCATCGAAGTAGTGGGAATAGTGGGAATAGTCAAAAGAGTGGGATGAGTGGGAAGAGTGGGAATGTACTTGAAGAAGAAGATCTTAGAGGGATGGTAGATAAGGTAAGTAGTGTTAGTGAAGATGAATGGAAAACTAATTTGGAAGCTCGTCTTGATGATGATGAAAAAAAGAAGAAGAAGATTGAAAAAGAAGTGAAGGGAACTTATCCGGTTGGAGTGATGGTTATGCAACATCCTTTACCTGCTAAACCTTTATGGGTTGGTGGGTCTAGTAATAAAAGTATGGGAAGAGGGTCTAATACTAACACCAATACGAATGGGAAACATAGAGGGGTAGTGAAGAGTGAAACTCTACCATTGAAATCGAATCCACCGAATGGAAATGGAAATCAGAATCAAGATCAGAATCAGAATGAAAATCAAAGTTTATTGAAAGATGATGAACCTGTTAGTTCGGGAGAAGTGAAATGTGTTGATGTAAATCAAACAGTGCCAGTGGGAATCGTAGTTGTTGAGGATTCGGATTTGAAAGATGATGGATTGAAAGATGATGGATCGGAAGATCAAGTTGATCAAGTTGATCAGGTTGATCAGCTTAAAGGAATTGATCAGATGGTTGGGAGTCTCTTGTTGGATGAAAGTCGTGAGTTCTTTTTTGCGTTTTTTTGAGAGTTTGGTTTTGGTTTTGGGTTGGTGATGGTGAGGGGTTCTGATGAAGTTTTGATTTTTTTGGGTTTGGGTTCCTCGGGTGGAGTTTTAGATCATGGTTCTTTGAATGATGATGATGATGATCAGAAGAGTAAGAAGAATGATTAGGATTGGGGTTTTCATGGGGTTTAAGGTCATGATCTGTTGTATGTGTATGTGTATGAGACGTAAGTGTTTGTTTTCTTGAAATTTTTATAGTGATTTATTTATTTACTAAATTGTTTTGCTTTTTTTGGTTACTAGGTTTGGTTAATAGATTTGGTTAATAGATTTGGGTTGGGATAAATTGAAGATTGAAAGATTGTAGGCGTTGTTAATGGAATTGGAATTGGAAGTTGAAAGGAAAAGTGATCTTAAAGAGAGAATTATAGGTTTCATGAAAAGTTTTATTAAAAAGTAAATGAAAATAAGGTTTAGGGTTTTTTTTCTTTTAGTACTGATGATATATATAGAGAGACAGAGAGAAAGTTTATATAGTATTGATATATATATAGAAAGATTTTTTTTGGTATGGTTTTTTTTTGGATTTAAATTTAATGAAATAATTATGATTTATTTTGAAAAAGAGATCTTTGAGAGTTTACGAAAAAAAATGGTGGGTTTTATTTTGGGAAGGGGTTTGGAATTGGAAAAGTGGAAGGAAGTTGGGTTTAACTTTAAGTTGTTTTGGGTGTACTATGACTGACTGTTTGGTTAAAAGGGTGTTTTTTTGAGGGGGGTGCTATTTGGGTTGGTTGAGATTTGATGAGGTTTGATGGATTTATTTGAAAAAAAAATGTGAAAAAATTGAAATGAAGAAAATAATTTTTTAAAAAAAATGTGTTGGATAATCCAACAAAGATTTTTTTGAAGATATTATTTAAGTTTTTGTTTGAGTTTTTGTGGGGGTTTTCCTTTTTGGAGAAAATAGTGGTACATGCACAAACATTGATACTGGAGCTGAGAAACGCAAAAAAACATCATTACTTGGTTAATTTTTGGGTTTTTTGGATGGGGGTTTTTGATTTGATAGATCTTGGATACATATCATAAAACAAGAACCTATGTGAAAAAAGAAAAGTTATAACCCCATTTCACTACATACCACCTTATTGGATCATAAATCAGTCAACTGTCCTGTAGCCTTGTTGACCAATCCTGACTCAACTAAAAAGTCAGAATGACAACCTTGAAATCCAACTGCCTCTCAGTTGCTTTTTCAATTTTTTTGAAAAGCTTCTGTTTAACAATTATTGAAACATCTAAATCTATTTATGTATGTCAAAATATCTTTGAAGGTGCAACACATTGAATTGAAACTTGATGTGGACCTGAAACTGGAGATGATACTCAAGATATTTACAGTGATGACAATGAAGACACTGGATATTGACAAGTCTAGACAATGCACTACAAAAATAATATGGTTCTCAATGACAAGAAATGATTGGTGGTGCCCAAAGGCACGACGGTACCTCCCTTTTCCACGATACGGGTATGATATCGGGTATCGGGAGAATGGGGAAATTATCCCGGGGCCGGGATGGTTTCCCTTGACGCACACAGGAAAATGTTGCAGAAAAAATTCTGCAAGGAAACTTTTTCCTCCCTCTCCATACGCGGAGAAATTCTCACCTCAGAATCTTCCCACGCCCGTATCGGGATTCTCCTCTTCTCATCAGTCACTCGCAGATCTCACGTTTTCAGGTCTAGAGGACTTCTCTCCCTTTTTCGCTTAAAGGGCATAGCATCAAGCCGACACTACTTCGATAAATTCAGTAGATTGCAAATGTCGTCCAATGATAACCAGACCGGTACTACCGACCAACCAACGTCTAACACAAATCAACCGACAAACACTGAGTCTTTCAATGCTATGTTGAGGAGAACGAGCAACCGCCTGCGAGGAGGTTCTGTCCCTCCTCCTGATTCTGAGGTGATCATACCGCACGCAACCGCTGCGAGACAACGTGGCAGGGGTCAAAGCCGCAGAGGACGAAATACAGCAAGCTCGACTAGACCTAGCGGAGGAACTTCAACACAGCCTCAGGTCACCTTGACTGTTCCTGGACAAACGACAGGAGGTAGCGGGGACTCAACGTCGAATACCGAGACTCCTCCGACCGGCACAAACTCTGCAACAAACGCTGCGACGCAAAATGGGGCGGGAACATCAGTTATCCATAACCCTTCGAGACCATCAGTTCCTGATGGACTGGTCTCCCGCGATAATGTAGCTACTGGAACTGCGTGTAAGCCAAAAGACCATTAATTTCAAACCCACCTAGGTGTTGCCGCCATAAGCGATGCCACGTTACCGTGTTGCCACAGAGATGTGATGCCTTTTATAGAAAGAGAGCGTAACCTTAACTGAGATCAGTTTCCTGCTTGTTGGTATAATCTCCACAGTGCGCTCACCTACACGCAGAGCTACAATGGACGCAGCAGGAGGAAGCCCACCCAGAGGCTTCCACTCCTGGTTGCTCGCGAATGGCTTGACGGTAGTCAACAATCCGGAGAGCCACGTGGTAACGCCACAAGGGCTAACTTCGTCGGCCAACGCGCAGAGCTCAACGACGACGACTGCTACACCAGCTCAACCGGCGGCTACCGCCCCCGAAGGAGCAAACAGGACCACCGCGACAGGGTTACCTAGAGCGAAGCAAGTCATACGAGTAGACCTGACTAAGGACTCTGACGATGACCCCAACGCAGCCACGACATCAGCTGAAAAGAAGAAACCAGTTGTTGGCGAGAAGGGTATCGAGACTGTGGGACTCACCAAGTTGTCTAAATACTTCGATGAGAAGATGAAGTCGCTCGAAGGATATGTACCCTTGTCTATTTTTAACTCCTTATGGTTACAACAAGACTTGTTACGACAAGCTGCCCGATCTAAGACGACTAAAGAAAAGCTCGATGATTCCTATGTCGGTCTTCACGTGCCACAAGAATGGAAGATGAGTTTTGGAGAGTGGGTGATGGCGTTTGATCTTTATGTCGCTTAGCTACGTCATTACGACCACAACGATCTCGCGAACAAGTTTATGGTCCATAAGGAGAACGTCTTCGCGATTCAAAGACAGCGACTCTGCTGGCCAATGGCATTTCGGTACGACCTCGCCGTTCGAACTACAGTGTTGACATTTAGAAATGCAAACGGCGAACTAGCCAACCCGGGTGTTCGAGACGAAACCTTAGAGCGTAACGCCCTCCAAGACTCAGAGAGGTTACAAGATTTTCGTCGAGAGTTTGCAGACGTGAACCCTTACGCTGACGGTCAAGCGAAGCAGAACGTCAACCCAATCTCTGGCGAGTATTATAAGAATAGCTCGGAATCTTACAGTTTGAATGGCCCATCGAACAACAATCCTAGAGGTGGTAATGGTGGTAGTAAACCGAACGCTAGGTCATGGTCTCACGCTAATAGCTCAGCATCTTACGACAGTCCGGGAAGTTTTGGGTTTAATACCTGGGAGGACCGAGGTGGATACGGACAAAGTCGAAGTAACCGGGGTCGTGGTCGAGGTGGAGGATGGCAAGGTGCATCAGGAGGAAGCCGAGACCATAGCCCCCCTAGTAGACGTAGCGGAGACCGGTTTGACTCTCGTAGAGGTGACGGTGGAGGTTCTTGGCGCCAAACCGAGAAACGCGATGACCGCCGAGGCGATGAGCGTGACTATGACAATCCTAAATTCGGAAGTAATGGCAAGGGAAAGTGAGCTTTAGAAGATTGTCCTTCCTTTTTGACCTAGCCCACATTGTCTACATACGCTACTGTTCCCAGCCCCATGAAGGCAAGGAGGCATGTTTTTTTTTTCCTTTCGCAGTACCTTCTTGATTTGTACTTCCCATGATGAACTCGAATTGTTCAGGAGTAACGCCGTTTGTCATAGCTGCTACTTTAGCATCAATGTGTTCCGAAACGTCCTTTGATTGATAGAAATCTATGTCATCCTGACAATTTAAGCATAGAAGAGTACCGTTTTTACTTACCTTGCTTCGCACCTGACCTGTATTGTTTAGTGACGACTACAGACCTAGAAATAGGCGTTTGACCGACGCCGAGCATGTGTGGGATGTCCCTAGCAGTGTAGGAGTACGAGTCTCTAGGTTGATCCCCTATAGAAACTCAGGAAGTAGTTTCGATGAGAGGTGGCCTAAGGATTATGTGGTATGTGAGCTCGACATACCAACTTGGAGAAGGCTCGTGAAGGAGTGTGAAATAGGAGGTGACGTCGACGAGGTGCTGGAGGGAATGGAGAATGGTTTCCACCAGGGTATCCCTAGTCACACCTTGGGGAATAGACGCTGGTATACGCCAAAGAACCACGACTCAGCTAAGATAGTGTCAGAAAAAATCGCAAATACTCTGGCGAAAGAGAAGAGGGAAGGCAGAATTTTCGGTCCATTTACGCACGAGGAGGTGTTTTCAAAGATAGGCTTTTTCCGATCGAGCCCGATGGGGAGCGTGATCAACGGGGATGGCTCTTTCCGTGTCATCAATGACTTGTCCTTCCCTCACAGCGACCCAGAGATCCCTTCAGTTAACAGCATGGTGGACAAAGATGACTTCAAGACCAGCTGGGACAATTTTAAAGTCCTTATCAGATTCTTCAAGAGCAATAAGTCAAAACTACAAGCAGCAATTTATGACTGGGCGAAAGCATATCGTCAGATCGCAATTCTCATATCACAGTGGAGGTTTTTAATGATAATGGACCTACAGAACATGATGTGGGTTGATACTAGAATCCAATTCGGTGGGGTTGCTGGATGTGGAGTGTTCGGTAGGCCTGCAGATTTGTGGAGACAAATTATGAATAAGATCTTTCACCTGGAAGCCGCCTTTCGGTGGGTCGATGATAATTTACTTATCAAGCAGGCAGATAACCCGACAACAATTGGCGACATTGTGAGGCTAAGTTCGGAGATGGGTGTCGCTTCCAATTCGGAGAAAGTTCACGAATTTGCCAACGAACAACAATATATCGGTTTCGTATGGAACGTAGTGGAACGAACTGTACGATTGCCTGAAGAGAAGTTCCAACAGAGGAAAGATGAAGTGGACAAATTCTTAGTAACACGAGCATCCTTTAATCTCAAACGCGCCGAAAAACTCATTGGAA